TAAACCTTCAACTTGTAGAGGTCGGACGAAATGAACCCTCAAATCAAAATTCCGGTCGATTGCACCCTGAACTATACAATCCCGGTCTAAATCAAACCCTAGCACCCTTTGAACCGGGATTCGTCTGGTGGGCCGGCCCATTAGAGTTTTTTTTTGTTTAAAAATAAAAATTCCAAAGGGCGCACACCGGGAGCTCCTTTGTGACGCTGCTTGCGTGAAGAGTCGAGGGTTCACATATACGTAGGACAACTGGGCCGGCCCATTTGGCTTTCGCGAGATGTAAAACGCGTAAAAATAAACAGACGAGAGCGATAAAACGCTTCCGCTGGGATTCGAACTAGTAACTTCATGGTGTTGTGCGCACTGGGCTAGCCATAGCAGCCAACTAGATCTTGTGCTAAATGTGCAACGCCACAGAAAAAGAAACAGGCCAGAGGGATAAAACTTAACATTTTCTAAATATCCCAAAAATTAAAGTTCCACTGAGGGATCAAAACGAGCACCTCCTGATAGGGAACCAGGTCGCAAGCCACCATAATTCCCGGGACTTTCTGTATAAAATTGCAGTCCGGTGCATATAATGTAAGCTGCAACCAATTTAAGCATTTTTTAAATTTCAAACATGATTTCTTTCGGAAAATGTTAATATTATTTGAAACAAGAACATTTTTGAACAATTTTTGAAAAACAATAAGAAAAATTGAAAACATGAACATTTTTTAAAAAATTGCGATTTTTTTCAACTCCTCCAAAATGGAAAACAATAAAACACAACGATTTAAAAATAAAAATAAATTGAAGAATGATCATTTTTCGCAAATTGTGAACAATTTTTTTGAATGCTCAGATTATTTTAAAGTATATAAAAACCGGCCCATTTGGAGCTATTGAATAGCAGGCGCGCAAAAAAAATATAGAGAAGTTCTGCCGGAGGGACTCAAACTCGCAACCTCAGTCTTGCTAACTGCTGGAACTTGCCAACCAAATTAGTGACTTCAACTGATAGTCTCATGGCGCGAAACGTTATGTATCGAAGTTCTTTTGAATATTTGTGAAAATTATGCACTTTAGATTTTGTAATATCCTTTGAAATTTTCTTAATGTATGATGAACATTTTAGATTATACACAATAAACATTTTGGAAGAACTATAAATATATGTGTTGAACAGTTGTAATATACGTTGAACATTTTCGAATACACATTAAAAATTTGTGTAATATACCACCGAACATATTTCAAAAACATAGGGACAAATTTATATTCATTGAGCAATTTCTAATATACGATGAACATTTTATAATGCATGATTAACTCTTTTGTAATATACAGTAAACATTCCTAAATATACAATGAACATTTTTGTAACAGGCAATGAACTTTGTATAATATAGGGAAAAAGAAACAGTAAAAATAAAAAAATCATAAAAAAGAAAAGATTATAAATATAAATATAAATATAAAAAGAAAGAGAAAAACTAAAATAAAAAATAACCAGAAAAAAAACCAGAAAAAGAACAAATAACGAACGGAGCTGCTGCGGCGAACTGGGCCGGCCCACCCACAGGCGCTGCGGGCTTTTCCTCCCCAAATCCCGGTCATTTTTGCCACGTTAACAATCCCTGTTTGGAAAATGACCCGAAGGTTCGATTTAGATCGGGATTGCAGAGTTCAGGATGCAATCGACCGGAATTTTGATTTGAGGGTTTGTTTCGCCCGACTTGTACCAGTTCAAGGTTTGAAATGAACTTTTTCGGTAGGAAGCAGACCGGACGACGGGCCCTGAGCTGCGCGGTAGGTGTGGCCGTGTGGGGCTTAACACCGCGCGTGCGTACGTGTCGGGTGCTTTGCGTCAGGCGCATTCAGCAAACCAAACGAAACGGAAACGAAACACGCACGGCAGCGCGAGCGAGCGAGCTAGCTAGCTAGCTACGTGTTCATACGTGTATCGATCACTGGGTGGTCGGTGCGTTGTATACCTGGTCGGCTAAATTCTTACGTACGTCGTGGCAGCTCAACTGCCTAAACCTCCATCCATCCAGCACACCAGCGTATGCTACTAAACTATCTCTTTTCTCTTGGTCACCAATTCATCGTCCAAATATAGGAGCAAAAGCAACCGGGACGACTGAATCAAAATTAGCGACGACCAGACCGACAACAGCGTGCGATGACGAACGATCTATCGATCTCGCTCTCTGACAAAACAAAGTATCGTGGCAAGAACAGCAACGAATTACTGGAACGCGACGAACAGGCAACAACCCACGTGGTCGGGAATCGCACGAACGGTGAGGAACGCGCGCACGCGGGCCCTCGAGCGCCCTCGGCCGCTAACCCCGTCTCGCGCCCCAGCTGAAGCACAGCAGTCGGTTGGCATGGCACCAACGGTCGCGAGGCCGGGAGGAGGACGACCCCTCCGATGGCGGGGGGCCAACCTCGGATACGCCGTACAGCGACACGCCGGCGAGCCTGCGTCGTTCGTCCCAGAGCATGCATGGTCCTGGACCGGGACGACGCAGAGTAGGGGCCAGTTCTTTTGGGTAATTCTCCCAGAATTGACCCCCTTCCCAGCTTCTCTCAGAATTGCCACTTGATATTTTTTTACAATTCCTAGCTAATTAGACCTTAACTAGTTAGGAATTGTAAAAAAATATGAAGTGGCAATTCTGGGGGAAGCTGGGAGGGGGTCAATTCTGGGAAAATTGCCCAAAAAAACTGGCCCTAGGCTGGCTGGCTGGCTTGCCTCGAAGTTTCGTCCGGCCAGTTCGCAAGCTGGGTAGGTGGCGTTGCCTTGTGAGAACCTTGGTCTCTCCCAGCTGACGGCTCAAAACGGTGGTCAGATTCATGCCGTCATTGCCGGCTGCATGCATGGATTTTTTTTTTTGCGAGAAAATTTTCGATCTATTCATTTTCAATCATGGCAGTACAACGAATACTAGAAATAATAAAAATTATATCCAGATCCATAAACCACCTAGCGACGACTACCAGCACTAAAGCGAGCCGAAGGCGCGCCGCCGTCATCGCCCCTCCATTGCCGGAGTCGGGCACAACTTGTTGTAGTAGACAGTCGGGAAGTCGTCGTGCTAAGGCCCCGTAGGACCAGCGCACCAGAACAGCAACCGCCGCAGATGAAGAATAACGTAGATCAGAAAGATCCAATCCGAAGACACGCGAACATAGACGAATAACGACGAGATCCGAGCAAATCCACCAAAGATAGATCCACCGGAGACACACCTCCACACGCCCACCGACGGTGCTAGACGCGCCGCCGGAACGGGGACTAGGCGGGGAGACCTTTATTCCATCTTCAGGGAGCCGCCGCCGTCTCGTCTTCCTGAGCAGAACACAAACCCTAGCAAAATTGAAAGAAACGACTAAAAACGGAGCCCTCCTGCCGGCCCTTGCCAAGATCCACCGCGCCCCCATGGCCCTAGGGCCACCGGAGAGGAGGCGGAGCTGCGGCGGCGACGGCGGGAGGCAGAAACCCTAACTTTTTTGTGGAGGAAGGAGGAGGCGGCGGCTAGCTTTGGCTGCATGCATGGATTTGACAGCCATGCGGTGGTTGAGAGGGTTTTGCACCCTAGCTGGTGCTGGTGCAGGTGCCGCAATTCCCTTCTGAAAAAACCCGTGGAAGGAATCGAAGCCAGCAATGTTCGAAATCCACGGTAGTACTGTACCAAGGAAGAGTCAGATACATGCGGCTTACAACCGAGGAACAGGCTGGTATGCTGAAAGTGACCCCCGCCGGCTCGTCATAGATCAACGGATGAAAACTCAACTCGTTTCGAATAGAAACAAGTATATTGGCGAGCATGGCATGTCTCTTTTGTCAATTTTTAAACGTGCAGAATACTGGCATGAGTGTTGCAGGCTCACGCTTGGGTTGTCATAAAGTCAAAGGCACCATTAGAAACACGCGAAGCAGGAAGACGCTGGCTAGAGATTTCCTGAAAAAATAATGTCCTTTCGGTTCATAACAAGACGGGACTAATTCTGTTTTTGACCTTTGGAGGGGGGACAACAACCGATGCTAATACTACCTCCTAAGTTGCGAATAAGAAAAAGAAATCCACCCAAAGTGGGACTTGCGTATGGATATCTAGTCCGTCTGTCCGCGAGACAATAGATAACTAAGGCGATGATGATTAGTAGGTCACCTGAGAGGATGACCAACTACACTAGGACTAAGCTCGGCGGCTACTACGTCTCATTTTCTAAGGAGGAGGGACTCTTTCGATTTTTAAAGCTTGGTATAACAAGGGCATTTGGAGTGCCTCATTCCTTCACTGTATTTTTTTAAAGCTCCAACAGGCGGCTTACAATCGAAGGGAAAGGGCGGCTAGTATTTTTTTTATGTGATTTTATTTTCTATTGTTTGTTTTGTGTCATGTCTTTTCAGTGTACTGGTGTATTATTTCCCTCGATAATTATTAGATATAAAAGCCATTCCGTGTCTTTCTAAAAGAAATATAATCATCTCTCTTTATTTATTTTTTTATAAATAATCCTACTTATTTTAAAGTGATATATAAATTATACTGATGCATAAATGAACAAAACCACAAATTTACTTATCCAAAGGGCTATTTCCTTTTTCTTCTTTGGGGCGGTGATTTGCTGCGTAGATCACGAGTCGTCAGTATGTCCTGATTTACATCAATGACTTTTTACCCGCTACTTCTATAAGCTCATAGGTTTCAACAAGGTTGCTCCAGTAAATTGGATGCCCAAAGTCAGATAACAAGCTTTGCTCACAGTGTGCCGCCTACTGATCCAGAACGAAGACCACACAAATTTCTTCAAATGACTTGTCTATAATTTCATATTCTTGTAAGGAACTTCTCGTAGGGACATGCAATAAAAGAGGGTCAAAAATAAGAATATTCACAAGATATTCTAGTACCATAGTGCAGGAAAATAGGGAATATATTAACGAATAAACATTTTTTGCATCGAAAAAAGATACTCCTAAAACCAGTGGCGAAAAGATCATGAACTGGCCAAACCGCCTCCCTTCTCCTTCGCGCATTCCCCATAAATACCTTCTTCCTCCCCATCTCCCCCTCCACCATCACAAACCAGAGGCACAGACCCGCACCAGGCGCATTCGCATACCACCGCAGACAAACCCCAAGAAATCACTAACCGCGCCTCCCGCCGCCAAAATGCTGGCCGCCGCCGCCTCCGTGAAGTTCTCCCCGGCGTCCGCCGGTGCCAGTACCACCACCATGTTGGCCTTCAAGCCTGTCCACCTCCCTGCCCTCCCCAACGCCGTCCCGCGTCCCCTCTCCCTCTCGGCGCGGCCTCTGTACCGCCAGGAGCCGTTCCTGGCGGCGGCCCGCAACGACCGTGCCGCGTCAACGGCGCCCCCTGCAGCCACCGCGGATGGCGCACGGCCGGTGGAGACGGCGGCCGCGCCGGAGGCCGCGAAGAGCGCCAAGATCGGGGTCTACTTCGCCACGTGGTGGGCGCTGAACGTGATCTTCAACATATACAATAAGAAGGTGCTGAATGCGTTCCCGTACCCGTGGCTCACGTCGACCTTGTCCCTGGCCGCCGGCTCCGCCATCATGCTCGTGTCCTGGGCCACCAGGATCGCCGAGGCGCCCCAGACGGACCTCGATTTCTGGAAGGCTCTCTCTCCGGTGAGCGTCCTGCGCACTCATGGCTTCTTGGCGCTCGCTGTTCTTGCCAATCTCACCGGCCCGTACGTGTTCTCGATGTGCTGATGCGTGTGTGTTGGGATTTTTTTTTATTTTTGTGTCCGGGCAGGTGGCGATTGCGCACACGATCGGGCACGTGGCGGCGACGGTGAGCATGGCGAAGGTGGCCGTGTCGTTCACGCACATCATCAAGAGCGCGGAGCCGGCGTTCAGCGTTTTCGTCTCAAGGTTCTTCCTCGGCGAGCACTTCCCGTTGCCGGTCTACTTCTCCCTCCTCCCGATCATAGGTGGATGCGCTCTCGCGGCCGTCACCGAGCTCAATTTCAACATGATTGGTGAGCAATCTGCAGACTCCCATTTTTGTTGAATCTTGAAATTACCTCCAGCGGATACTCCTACAACATAAGAAATATCGTCACTTTTGCTAGTATATACAACAGATATTTTTCAGTAGTACTCCATTTCCGAAGAACCTGAACTGTCCACAAGTCCTGAGGTCTATAATTTAGCACGTATATATTGTACCAAAGGCTTTATCTTTGGCGTCAAAATTGGACAACGTTGTACTTTTGGGTGCGACTTTAGTATCGCTCGTTGAAAGTATGCGGTTTAATTAATTCTGATAGCTCATATGCTCAATCAACTGTAGGATTCATGGGGGCGATGATCTCCAACCTGGCGTTCGTGTTCCGGAACATATTCTCCAAGAAGGGGATGAAGGGCAAGTCGGTGAGCGGGATGAACTACTATGCCTGCCTCTCCATGCTGTCCCTGGTGATCCTCCTCCCTTTCGCCTTCGCCATGGAGGGCCCCAAGGTGTGGGCTGCAGGCTGGCAGAATGCAGTCGCCGAGATCGGTCCCAACTTCGTCTGGTAAGCTCCAAATCACGTGACTGCTTGCCAGTTCGCTGTCGTAAGTTTTGTTGATGCTTAGCAATTCTAAATGCTTAATGAACTTTGGCGACGAACTATAGCATAGCAGTACAGCATTCATACTTCAGAATGAATTGGCACAAGTTCATTTACGAAAGACTGAGATTTTGACAGTGTGTGTGATATTTCAGTTGGTTCATGTGTCTAAATAAATGGATTCCTGTGTGTGTTGGTATGTACTGTAGGTGGGTGGCGGCGCAGAGCGTGTTCTACCACCTGTACAACCAGGTGTCGTACATGTCGCTGGACGAGATCTCGCCGCTGACATTCAGCGTGGGCAACACCATGAAGCGCATCTCGGTCATCGTCGCGTCCATCATCATCTTCCGCACGCCGGTGCAGCCCGTCAACGCCCTCGGGGCGGCTATCGCCATCCTCGGAACCTTCATCTACTCCCAGGTGACCCATCTCACACGCCTCACTTACCTCACCACGTACGTAAGGAAGCAAGCAAACCAGAATTTAACACTGAAACTTTTGTTGACCTCGTGTTGCAGGCAAAGCAGTAAGGCCCCGTTTGATAGCTCTGCATTTTCTAAGTATTTTGTGAATACTACAGTTTTTCTAAATACTATGGTTTTAATTACTTTAAGCTGTTTGGTCTCCACAAAAAACTGTAGTATTAATACTACAGTATTCCTCAAAATGCAGTATTTTCTCTGTCTAATAAAAAGAACCCAGGACCTCTTTTTTTAAAACAGAGCAGGCGAAAAAACGAACACGTTTCTTCGTCCTCGTTCATTCTCATGCCACCGCCGCTCGCTCGTTGCTGGAGATCGTCTCTCCCTCAGGTTGCCGTGGATAGATAAAGAGACGACCATGGAAAAACGGCTAGTACGCTTAATCATCTGTTCCCTTCTCAAGGAGGCCCGTGGCATGAAGCTGGCAGGCCTTGCTTTCTGAGGAAGAAACCTCCTGCTGCCTCATGAAGATTGCATCACCGCGCCTCCTACTTCTCTTCGTGTGTCTGCTACGGTGCCGGCCAGCTGACGGCACTGCACGGTTTTTCTCATCTTTGTAAGCTGCAGGACGAGCTTTGGGCATGGTTGTTGACAGTTTGGCTGTGGACTTTGTGCATATGGGTGGCCTTTTGCATGGCCGCTGGGTTTGGGTAACAGGGTAAGCAAGTAGAAAACGGCTAGCTAGTTATTAGGTGCGTCAATATATACAACACTACCAAACAGCTCCAAAGTATTCCCAATACTTCAAAATAATGTGGTATGTCAAAACTGTGGTATCTTACACCTATATGCTAAAATGTTGTAGTTTTCAATACTTTGGTTTTTTCAATACTTTACTATCAAACACAGCCTAAGGGAAATCGACCAAACGATATCTCTTCCGACGAGAGCCGGCCCGGCGTTCGGACGTTATATGTTGTTGAGCATATCTGATTGAGGACACTCCCTTGTAATATATATACAGTATTAGGAATCTCCTTCTTTTTTCCTTTTTTTCTAGGTTTAGCTGCGGGTGTCTCTGAATTCTTCGTCTGTTGTTCCGTGACCATGGTGCTGATGATGTAGAGAGGTGAATGAATCCGTCCAAATAAAGTTGCCAGGAATTTTCGCCCCCGATCTCCAGCCTAGTTACGTGGTCCAAAACAAGTCGCGTGGTTGAGAATGCATCGGCCCAGATTGTTTGCTTGCTGGCGATGGATACAGGGGCATGGCGGCGTCGTGCAATTTGCGAAGCCGAGATCTCTGCGATGGGTGCGACGTTGGAGCGTAGCTCCTTTCCCTTTGCTTGTTGCCTTGGCCCCCTCTCTCACTGCAGGTGCAGTTGGGTCACTAACATGTGGGCCCAACAAGCATCTGGCCCTTATGTCAGTGACCCAACTGCACCTGCAAGTTATGTCACTGAAGCTGCGTCCTTCTCGTTTGGGAGCTTGTGCTCGGTCCCCGGCGTTTCGGCGCGGCACATGCCCCCCGTCGCATATATTCTTTGGTTCAACGTCACCTGTTAGAGTGCTCAAAGGGGCGATGGGTTTGGTCTTCGATCCCGACGTTTCTTTCGGTGCTCTTTGGGAGTAGGAAACCTCCTTATATGGCGTAATCTACAATGCGAAGAGTAGGAAACCTCATATCGATGAAACCTCCTTATATGGCGTAATCTACAATGCGAAGAGTAGGAAACCTCATATCGATGAAACCTCCTTATATGGCGTAATCTACAATGCGAAGAGTAGGAAACCTCATATCGATGAAATAGCTTTCTAGGGGAGTCCATCACTACAAGAAATCAGTTGGATTCATCCCATGACAGCACGGTTGGCGATATTTTTCAAAAGAGGGATGGGGGTCTAAAGCAGGAAGTTGTATTAAGATGGGAATCATGTGTGAGGATATGTAGAAACTATTCCGTTTTGATTCATGGGAATGACTAAATAAGAGACGGAGGAAAGTTATGATAGAATTTCAAGATGGGTTTCCTTCTTGATTTCAAATCCCCATTCCCTAGCTCTAATTACCCACAACTAGACACGTTGGGTAGGAAGAACCCTTCGCAATTTCCCCAGCAGTCACTGAGAACAGCTACATATGCCAAAAAGCATCAGCAAAGCTCAAATTACCATGCTCTAGAAACATTTTAACACCATGGAGTTGATTGACATTATACGGAATGAAAGAGGATTCAAGCTACAAAACTTCACTTAGCCAAAACTCGCCTCTTGCTTAAATGCAAGACACAGGAGTTTGGATACATGACAAGGTCTGATTAATTTAACTCCTAACAACGAACCCTTAACACAAGTAGTAATACTTCGTGACCACCACCACTCCAGATAGGTGAAAGCAGTCTAGAAAAGAGATGTCCCCTTGCCCTTCTTGTCTCCGCCGATCTCAAAATGCTTGCACCTCTGCATAGATAGAGGAATAATAAAGAATGAGCAAGCACAGCAAAATAAAAAGAAAAATGTTCATTTTTCAAGATAAAAGGAACAAACCTTGATGGCACGCTGGGAGTAGTGCTTGCAGCTCTGGCATTGCAGCTTCAGCACAATCTTCTTGGTGGTTTTTGCCTGAAAAACGTCACAACATTAGCATTGCTCAGCTGCTTCTAATCTTTATCACACAAATACACTACACAGGCACACCATAAGCACCATGGCGTTGAATTGGTAGACAAATCAGATAAACCATATTGAACCATATATATCGTGTTGGCAGGTCGATAGACAATCACAAGCAAAGATGCTGCCATACCTTCTTGTGGAAAACAGGCTTGGTCTGACCACCATATCCCGACTGCTTCCTGTCATAACGACGCTTTCCCTGGGCAGATAGACTGTCCTTGCCCTTCTTGTACTGAGTGACCTTGTGAAGTGTGTGCTTCTTGCACTCCTTGTTTTTGCAGTAGGTCTTCTTGGTCTTCGGAACGTTCACCTAAATAGCATTTGCAACAAAACTAGTGTTCAGATAGGTTTGGATGAAAGCTGGATACATGTTTGGATGGCATTGCAATAATAAAAAAGAGCTCTAGAAACAAGTGCAGAATGTTAAAAAAAATACTAAGAAAACCTATAGTACAAACTTCAATTAGGTCCTCAGAAACATGCTTATGGTTGTCATCATAAGGATAATCAGGTCTGAAAGATTTCATGCCATAGTAGGACCCCAAAATTCAGTATCAAATATTAAACAATAAGATTTGAAATTGCAGCATAAGCTACATAATAAGTTGATATATCACTTGGCAAGAGAGAAGCATCCCAAGTTAAGGTGAAACATTAGATGGAATTAATGTCAAATGGTTATCAGCTGAGGAATGCGTGCCCAGTTTTACTGATCAGGTTTCAGTAGTATCATGTAATGTGAAGTTGCGTGAAGCACAGCCTTGACAAGGTCACTTCACAAGATTACACATTTAAAGATGCATGAATACAAGCTATAGTCCATCTAAACGGAGGGAAGACCAAATTAGATTTGATCCTGACACGAAGATCGATTGATTCCATCTCAAGCCAAGAGCGCGCCCGCCTGACATAACCGAGGAACATCTAATACTTGGTAATTAGGAACGTGAAGCAGTACAAATCTCATGCAAATATACAGTAATTAAGAACTAATGGTACATGGTTCAGAGATCTATAACTCGTAAACTTGATCAAAGAAACCCTAAAACTGAAGAACTAATCGTTTAGTCCGCGTGAATACACCAAAGCTTGAGTTTCGTAGGCTAGCGTCAACCCTACACGTCAAAGCACTCGAAGGGAACCACTCATACAACACGGAATCTAGGATCTACGAACAGACCGCCACGGAAAACCCACGTAGCAAGCAAAGCAGGGAAAACAGCACGGATTGGCACGGATATGACAAGAGATTAAGCTTTCGGGGCGATGGAGAGGAACGAAACGCGTACCATTTTGACGGCCGGGGAGATGGGGCTCCGGCGTGCTTCCCTTCCCTTTCTGGTGGAGGAGTTGCGGCAAGTGGCGGCGGGGAGGGAGAGGGGTGTGGTTTTGTGGCCCTCTGCTCGCGAGCTAGGGTTTGCGAGTCGCGAGACCGTCGCTTCCTTCATGGGCCTGAATGCCACTTTTATGATCAACCATCCCTTCTTGGCCCACCACCAGCCCAGAATGCGAGATGGGCTGGGCTTGCTGGGAGTATGACGAATGGTTCAACTGTGTGAGCTACCGACTTTTTTCTTTGTTGAATATTTTGGATTGCTTACGGTGTGAGCTACCGACTAGGAAATACCCCTAAAAAAACATGAATTAGGAAATTGATGGAATCGACTGGAATTTGAATTATGCGGCAGTTGTTCCTCTCTCCGTCCCTCTCAGCTATTTGTGTTACAACCGATTGGTCGCAGTCGTCCAAATCCTAGCCAAATGATAACAAAACTATACAACGGCTATAAGTACCAGTAGAATCAGGTATACCCGCTTAACGGGCCTAGTTTGGGCTTACAAGCCATCGGGAAGCTTCTTGGGCCTTGATGATTTGGGTTGTAGTTCTGTAACTATAGACATTTGGCTCTTGTCGACAACCTCCGGTTCTTGTACAAACGCCCTCTTCAGTAGTGGATGTGCTTCCCTGCAGGTCGTTGACCCCCCCCCCCTCGAAATGGCTTGTCCTCAAGCCGGAGCCCGATGATTTGTTTGCTTAAGTGACTATAAGTCTTCCCACGTAGCTTCTACTAGATAGGAGTCACTCCACTTGCTCAAACGTTGTGCCACAGTGCTTCGACCAGATTCCTAACTCGATGCTAAGGCATCTTGGAAGGAACCTGCAGATGAGCAGAGGAAGAGTGAAGTGTTTGTCACACCTTGCATTCAGACTGAATCACATGTTTCAACAGAGAAACATGGAAAGCCGGGTGAATTTTATTGCCTCGAGGTAACTCGAGCGATAAGCTACTTCCCCAATCTTCCCCAAACACAGAAGATTGGACATAGGGATGTAGCTTCGGGAACACCATAACACCAATTTTAAACAGTCTCTGAGTTCTATGATTGTCTGCAAGGTGTTTCACCCTCTGTTGAGTTCTAAGCACATGTTGCCTCACATACTCAACCACTACTTGTTTGTCTTGAAGCCACTGTTAAATGTCTACTTAGGCTACATCATCAGAAGCATATATGCCAAAATACACGGGGGGATGGTTACACAAAGCTTCAAAAGGAGATTTATCAAATATAGAGTGCTACTTAGTGTTGTACCAGAACTCACACATAGAAAGCCACTTGCTCCATTTGGTGGGATGAGCACTCATAAAACACCTTAGATAACACATCACTTGATGGTTGAACATCTTTGTTTAACCATATGTAGCTGGGTGATATGTAAAACTCATGTTAAGGTGAGCACCTGTGCTTTTAACTAGAGTTTCCTAAAAGGTACTGGTGAAAATAGGGTATGTGTAAGGGCATATTTATCCCCAAGGTGTTTTGGTGATTGATGACAATGCTTTTGCGGACTAATCGTGTGCGTTGAGTTTTTCAGAGATTCATCCTTTGGCACGAGATGATTCCCTCCCCTCGGTGTTTTATTCAAGACGGTGTAGCTCCTTCGTTTCCCTGTTGGTGGACTAGTTTCGTAGGAGTCACCGTACTATCAAGAGGGGATCCTCTTTGGTAAGGCTAGGGTGGAATCAACACGTACACATCCTTATCACACCCGATGTTCCTTTCCGCTTCAATGGAGTTCTCCTTCCTCTCCTTGCTTGCCCTGACTGGTCCCAGCGGTAGTACCGCGGGCCATAGCGGTAGTACCGCCGAAGCACATCAAGCGGTAGTACTGCTCCTTCAGCGGTAGTACCGCTTGCTGACTTCCGTCGCAGTACCGCTGAGGCTCCGGGCTACTACCGCCTCGACTCGAGGGCTCGTTTTCTCGTGTCGGGTTGTGCAGCACTTGCTGCGGCAGTAGCGGCGGTAGTATCGCCCTTACCACCGCGGTAGTACCGCTCTGGGTCCAGGACCCTGTTCCTCTCATGTGCACGACAGTACCGCTAGGTGGGACGGTAGTACCGCTGGCTCAGCGGTAGTACCGCCCACCCAAGCGGTAGTACCGCTCTCTGCGGGGCTGCTTGAGGGGGTAACGGTTGGATTGTTCCCCCCACTATATAAAGGGGTCTTCTTCCCTAAAGTTGACCTACCTCTTCCCCCAAAAGCTCCATTATTGCTCCAAGCTCCATTTTCGCCCGATCTCTCTCCCTAGCCAATCAAACTTGTTGATTTGCTCGGGATAGGTTGAGAAGGCCCCGATCTACACTTCCACCAAAAGAAATTTGATTCCCCCATTAATCCCTAGCGGATCTTGTTACTCTTGGGTGTTTGAGCACCCTAGATGGTTGAGGTCACCTCGGAGCCATAGTCCATTGTGGTGAAGCTTCGTGGTGTCATTGGGAGCCTCCAATTAAGTTGTGGAGATAGCCCCAACCTTGTTTGTAAAGGTTTGGTCGCCGCCTTCAAGGGCACCAATAGTGGAATCACGGCATCTCGCATTGTGTGAGGGCGTGAGGAGAATACGGTGGCCCTAGTGGCTTCTTGGGGAGCATTGTGCCTCCACGCCGCTCTAACGGAAACGTACTTCCCCTCAAAAGGAAGGAACTTCGGTAACACATCCTCGTCTCCATCGGCTTCACTCTTGGTTATCTCGTCCCTTTACTTGTGCAAGCTATTTATGTTGTATCCCTTGCTTGCTTGTGCACTTGTTGTTGTTGCATCATATAGGTTGTTCACCTAGTTGCATATTTAGACAACCTACTTTGATGCAAAGTTTAATTTGGTAAAGAAAAGCTAAAAATTGTTAGTTGCCTACTCACCCCCCCCCTCTAGTCAACTATATCGATCCTTTCAATTGGTATCAGAGCCTCGTCTCTTTATTAAGGACTTTGCCGTCTGAAGAGTATGGTTGACACCGTAGACGGTGGGGAGGAGGAGCACTCCGGTGTGAATCCGATCTCGTCTATGGGTGATGGGGAAACCATGGTGTCCCGTGAGGAATTCAATGTGGCCTTGGACACATTGAAAACCTCCATGACAACCACGGTTGAAAGCATGTTTAATAAATTCTTAGAAGGACTTAAACTACCTACCTCGCCGTTGAAAGCGGGTGATCCCACTAACAAGGTGACGGATGCTAACTCCGGCAAGGGGGAAGCTAATAGTGAGAAGGGTCCTTCTACTAGTGGTAGAAATGGCACTGGCATCTTTGCCCATGTGGAACCTCCAACTTATGGAGGACCGATTCCCTCTACTCATTTAAATCATGTCGGCCCTCCTCCTAAGATTGTGAAAAATGAGGATTTTGATTCTTGGGTGTATCGCTTCAAGCTTCATTTAAATCATGTGAATACTAATTTTTGGAGAATCATTGAAGAAGGTTTCTATCCACATGATCGAAGCAACTTCACCCTAGAGAAGCAGTGGATAATCAATTCAATGAGAATGCTCTCTTCATCATCCAAGATGATATCCTCCCCGAATATCTCCCTCATCTCCGACCCCATGCCATGGCCAAAGACGCATGGCAATGCGTTGTGTCTCTTTATCGGGGAAGCGCAAGCATTCAACGCTCCAACTATGAAGTGGTGCAAGATGAAGCCGGTGAGTTTGCAATGAAAGAAGATGAAGAACCTCGTGAGCTCTTTCGGAGAGTGACCAAACTCGCGGTTTCACTCCGAGATCATGGAAGCAAGGACACGGATGACAATTGGATCAAGCGCAAGTTCCTAAAGGCTATGATGCCCTACAACAAGGCCATGTCCTCCATCATTCGTCAAAGACCGGACTTCCACTCCATGACCTCAAGTGAAGTGTTCGATTAGTTCGTTGCAATGAGCATCTTGGACAAGACCGCCGATAACGCGGTGCTCCGCTCTCAAAGGACAAAGAAGCCCAACCTTGCCTTGAAGGCCAAGGTTATTGTGGAAGAAGAGGAAGAAGAGGAAGATGAGGAGAGCAACCCCGAAGATACAAAATATGATTATCATGAGCACATGGCTCTTGCTTCAAGGCAATTTTGGAGCAAGAAGAACTCAAGGCCCAATTTCAACAAGAACAACTCAAGTGGCTTCAAGGGCAAGCAACGAGTAAGAACTTGTTACAACTGTGGCAATGTGAGCCATTTCATTGCGGATTGTCCTTACGAGAAGCGGGAAGACAATGGTGGCAAGCTCATCCGAAAAGACAAAGCCAAGTCCTTCCCCAACAAGAACAACTTCAGCAAGAAGACTCCTACTCGAGGTTTGGTGGTTCAAGAAGAATACCGTGAGGATGATGATGATGATGATGAAGATAGTGAAGCAATGGCCATGGCATCCGTTGCCATTGCCACAACTCCCCGGATGTCTCTCTTTGATTCACCCAACGAGAACATCACTGCCAAGTGCCTCATGGCTAAAGCCACCAACAAGGTAACCCCCAACATCAAAACCACCATCATTACTAATCCCTCTTTGGCCGATGGCATTGATGAAAGTGAGGGGTCTAATGAGGAAGTAAATGAATTTGAGTCTTTTATGAGTAAGCTCAAGGGAAAATCCAAGAAGCACTTTGTTGCTCTCTTGGAACAACTTGGTGAAGCCAATGACATGATCGAGGCTCACGAAGAAACCATCTCTAAGATGGAAGGTCATAGTCGTGACTATGCCGATGAGATATCGGATCTCTCTAATGCTCTTAAGGAAGAGCGTGGGCATCGTTTGGCTCATGAGGAGTCACACAATGATGACCATGCCAAGTTAAAGAAAGATCTTGATCATGCTCTTGTTGTGTCTCGTGTGCTAACTTCCGAGAAGGCTAAACTTGGGGTTGATCATGCTAGACTCAAGGAGGAGTTTGATGCACTTGACAAGGCCCACAAGGTCTTGAAGGGTGCTCATGCAAACCTCAAGGAGTCTCATACTCAACTCCAAGTTAAGCTAACCAAGGAAAAGGCCACCTTTCCTCATATGGTATTAATGGATAATGCATAGGCCACTAACCCGTGTTGTGAGCATGTGCATCTTGTGGAGGAGAATGCCAAATTGAAGGATCAACTTGAGAAAGGCCTTGTGACATGCATTCAAGGTGA